CCCTCACCTCCCCACCAACCCCCTTCCTTCCCTCCCCACCTTGCTCTCCCCAGTCAGACTGCCCCTCCTACCTTTGGCATCGTTTCCCCTCCTCAGGCTTCCTTCTGCTTTTCCCACCCTGCACCCCCACTCTCCCTCTTCACGACTGTCCTCCCCTCCCTCGCTGTCCTGTCCCCCCTTCCCTCACCAACTTCACCTCCTTCTCAGAACTTCTTCCTTCTGAGACCTCGGTCCCTCCCGGGCTCAGAGCCCCAGCTCCTCCTCCCCAGGGCTGCACTCCTGCTCCACAGCCATGCTCAAGGAACCTTCCCCTCTTCTTCCTCTCTCAGTACAGCTGACTGAAGGGCCCCTGCACTGGTACAGTGACCCCGGCCTGGCAGGCGTGTTCCTAGGGCCAGGCCTGAGTTACGACCAGCACACTGGGGAACTGATGGTGGCCGAACCCGGGGTCTACTATGTTTTCCTGAACCTGAAGCTGCAGCGGGTGGTGTCTGACAAAGGCTCCGGCTTGGTCTCTGCTGCCCTGCATCTGCAGCCGCTTGGTGTCAGGGCTGCAGCCCTGGCCCTGACCTTGGACCTGCCTCCTCCATCCTCAGAGGCCCGTGACTCCGCAGCTGGTTTCTGGGGCAGCCTGCTGCACCTGGGCGCCGGCCAGCGCCTGGGTGTTCACCTGCGGGCTGAGGAGGGGGTGCGCCTCGCTTGGCAGCTCGCACAGGGTGCCACCATCTTGGGCCTCTTCAGAGTGGCCACCAAAGTCCCCGCTGGACTCCCCTTGTCGTGGCCCATTGACACGGGGCCTGGCTCCGGGCCCCTGGACCGAGAATGAATGCTGCCTTCTTTCATTGGGGCTCTTGGTTGACGGACGCCCCAGCGACTCTACCTCACCTGGCTTGGCAGGGATCCCCGCTGCTGACCCACTCCTCGAGGACTCTCCAAGTCACTCTCCCATTCCTGCCCCAAGTCGAACTTCTGGTATTTATTCTGAGCCTGAGCTCAACAGTGTACTTTATATTAATCCATTCCATTTATATTTATTGAACATCTGCTGTAGGCAAGGCCCTGTGCAGGGCCGGGGAAACATCAGCAAACAAAACAGATTAAAAAAAAATTTATTTATGTTAATATGTGCGAAATAAAGACTCATCCCCAGCCCTGTTCTGGCATTCAGGGGGCTAGTCTTCAGGGGTCCGTGTGACTATGATGTGTGAGCTTTATTCATGCAAGTTGTTCTGAGCCTCTCCTTTGTATCAGGCGCTGTTTTAGGTGTTGGGGACACAGCTATGAACAAGACAGACAGACAGCCCAGCTTTTGCCATGCTGGCCATCAGGTATGCCTGCTTGGCACTAGGACTATGATTGTGTGTGACCCTGTGTGACTGGACCACATGGGAGAGTGTGGGATGGATGGTGCGTGGTATTGGATGATATGATACTTATAAACCTACTGACCGAGAAGTATTGAACCTTTGCTGTATGTCGGACAACATGAGGTATCTATTTGAGACATAACAACCCTATGCTTTTGGGAGTTCATTCCCATTTTGTCATTCTCTCTGCTGGTGACGTGACCTGCTGGTGTCCGCATGGTGGAAGTACTGTGTAATGCTGTTCTGAAGGACCTGTTAGGTGACCTCATGCTGGGGACTTAAAATTGGCCATGGGCATCTGCAAATGCTTCAGGTTGGCTTCACGTTATTGTGTGTGGATCACCTATTTAAGACAGTGATGGAGAAAGTGTGGATTAAACATGTAGATTAAACTCGAAAGTGTGTCTTGTCTTGAGCCGTGACGTTGTGAGGAGCACATGAGAAATTGAGGAAGTATTTGTCTTGTGTTTTCAGACCGTTATCTGATTTAGCAAAGAAGTTGCTCAAGGTGACTGACAAACAAGTGAGGTGGGGACATCTTTGTTGTTCCAGTTCATCTTAGTCTTTAAAGGAACATACCAACCTTGTCGCTTGGAGCCATACGTGGCTATGGGTACCAGTGTGGGAAAAATCCAAGACCGCATTCTGTAAGCGTTGACTATGCGATTTGCAATGAAGAGTATTTTATAGGGACACCTGGGTGGCTCAGTTGGTTAAGCATCTGACTCTTGATTTCAAATCAGGTCATGCTCTCAGAGGTGTGGGATCTGTGTCCGCCGTGCACTCAGTGGGGAGTCTGCTTGGGATTCTCCCTCTCCCTCTGCTCCTCCCCCTGCTTGTGTGCACATGCGCACGTGCTCTCTCTCAAATAACTAAATAATTCTTTTTTTTTTAAAGATTTTATTTATTTATTTGAGAGAGAGAATGAGAGACAGAGAGAGAGAGCGCACATGAAAGGGGGGAGGGTCAGAGGGAGAAGCAGACTCCCCGCTGAGCAGGGAGCCCGATGCGGGACTCGATCCCGGGACTCCAGGATCATGACCTGAGCCGAAGGCAGTCGCCCAACCAACTGAGCCAGCCAGGCGCCCCCTAAATAATTCTTAAAAAAAAAAAAAAAGGAGAGTATTTTATATGTTTTTTGTAGATACATGCTGCACATTTTTTTTTTTTAAAGATTCATTTATTTATTTGAGAGAGCGAGAATGAGAGAGAGCACATGAGAGGGGGGAGGGCCAGAGGGAGAAGCAGGCCCCCCGCCGAGCAGGGAGCCCGATGCGGGACCCGATCCAGGGACTCCAGGATCATGACCCGAGCCGAAGGCAGTCGCTCAACCAACTGAGCCACCCAGGCGCCCCATGCTGCACATTTTTGCCAACAAAATTTATAATAAACTCACATACTCATTTTTCCCCCTCTGGAGAGCCGGTTGTTAGACTTTGCTATACACCACTGTCTCCAGACCAGCCAGTCCCCCCAGCGCCATAATTTCCCCACCATGCAGATCTGCCTGCTGGTCCATATAAACCGGCTGGATCTTGGTTTCTTACCTAGGACAAAAGGGGCTGGGGTGGGCAGAGAAGCCTTCACAGAGCAGGTGACCTAGATGGGCCTTAGGAGGAAGAACAGGAACAAGGGAGACAGAGGTGGAAGACTGGCCCGCACTGGCCAGACAGGAGGGTGTGGGACGGGCAGTGAAGATGCGGATGTGGAAGTGAACGCCTTTTGCCTGACCCATCTCTAGCCCTTCTCAGAGTTCCTCCTGAGTGTGCAGGACTGGCATGAGCTGACACCTATGAGTGTCACCCTGATTGGGAATTAAATTATTGACCTAGTTCTAGGGGCGCCTGGCTGGCTCAGTTAGAAGAGCGTGCGACCCTTGATCTCTGGGTTGTAAGTTCAAGCCCCGAGTTAGGTGTCGAGGTTACTAAAAAATAAAAATAAACAAACAAATAAATAAATAAATAAACTTTAAAAAACCCACAAAAAATAAATAAACCGTTCCATACTAGTTGGTTGTCCCGTGAAAAGGAAGTATGTGCAAAATGACAAATCCTAAGGAGCTGTAAGATGGAAGAAAAAGGTCTACAAGTGCGGCTTGATGAGAAATGGTTTATTAAGGGGACTTACAGACAGAAACCTGTTTTGAGTGGCTGCAAGAGGAGCAGGTCCCTGAAACCCCCACCTCCTGTCAGACCTGCTAGAGGCTGGGAGTCCATGGGGTGGGGGCAGGACGAGGGCACTCAGGAGGAGAATATTTGAGAATAGGTGTGTCACAGTCATGTCTCCAGAGCAGATCAAGGACCAGGGATACTCAAGGATGTGGTTAAGTAAAAGGGAAAGGATGTGTGTGGGGGTGCTGTGCTCAAGAAGGCTTCAGGTCAGAGCGGTCTTGGTGGCCATCTGTCCAAGATGCCTTCGGTCTGGTTCACATATTGGCAAAAGACTGTTACTGCCCCCCCCCGCCCCCATTACTAGATGCTTGCTCTGGACTTCCAAGATGGCCTTTGCCATCCAAAACCTTGCACTTGGTTCACCTCCAGGGTTGTGCAGGGGAAGGGTGCTCCGCAGAACTCTCGGTCCAGGGACCAGCGACAGGCTAACCTAGTTGTTGCCTATTTTGAATAGCACCAGGTGACGCCAGTTCTCCGGTGCAGCTGACTGGGCCAGGACGGACACATGATTCAAGCTGGGCCAATCAGATCTCCTCCACAGGAATAGGGGCGGGCCTGGCTCTACCAACCGTTCCGGTCAGGAATTGGAAGCTGTATGTGACAGAAGCATGGAGGGAAGCGTGTGCAAGAGAGAGAGAGGGGGCGGGGGAGGAGGAAGATGTGTGGGGATTCACAGATGAGACCATAGAGCCCTAGAGAGACAGAGGAGCTACTGACGTTTCCTACTTGCCTCTTCCTGGTGCCGTGGGATGCCCTAGTGCCTTAGTTTCCCAGGGTTGCTCTAACAAAGTACCATAGGGGCACCTGGTTGGGCCACTGACTCTTGATCTCAGCCCAGGAGTTGATCTCAGGGCCATGAGTTCAAGCCCCACCTTGGGCTCCAAGCTGGGCATGGAGCCTACTTAAAACAAACCACAAACAAAGTACCATAAACTGGGTGGCTTAGAGCACCAGATAATTATTTTCCACCGGTCCTGGAGGCCAGAAGTCCAAAATCGAGGTGTTGGCAGGGCCATGCTCTCTCCAGAGGCTCTAGGGAAGACTCCTTCCCTGCCTCTTTCAGTTTCTGGTGGATGGCATTCCTTTCCTGGCTTCTGCATTACCCTCATCTCTGCCTCCCTTGTGGCACAGCTTTTCCTTCTGTGCATCTCATCTGCTTCTCTTCTCCTCTTCCTATAAGGACACTGCTCATATTGGATATACCACTCACATGACTCCAGTATAACCTCATCTTAATTTAACTACTTATATCTGCAAAGACCCTATTTCCAAATAAGGTCAATATTCTGAGGTTCCAGGAAGGGCATGAAAAAAAACATTTTTTTTGGGGGGGGGAACACTATTCAACCCAGTACATTTAGTATCTGCCCTTGAGGGCTATGAGAAACTTGAGTGTCCTTCCATGAATTTCCTTCTGGGGTGGGTTCTGTTCCATGCTGCCCAAGGATGCAGGCCCTCAAGGCTGTCAGTACCTTTCTGGGTAGTTTTGGGATCTGAGATTCTGTCCCACTTCCTGGGTTATTTGGGTGTGAGAGTGTCCCACAGCAAGGATACTTGGGCCCCATAATGTCATCATATGTTACTAAGACCCAAGGTACACAGATGGAATTCTATAATAGTGACAGGAATTATAGCTGATGTTTATTAATGCTTACTGGTCCCAGGCACTAATTGCTTTGCAAAGAATCCAACAGGAAGGTGCTATTTTATTTTCATTCCCATTTTACAGGCAAAGAAATTAAGGCCCAGGGAGGTTAGCCCAAGGTCACACAGCCAATAACAGGTAGAGTGGTCGACAGTGTGAGTTGCAGAGCCAGTCTTCCTGGAACCCTGGTCCCTTCCTTTTTTTAAAAGATTCATTTATTTATGTATTTGACAGAGGGAGAGAGAGAGAGAGAGAGAGAGAGCTCAAGCAGGTGGAGCAGCAAGCAGAGGGAAAGGGAAAAGCAGGCTCCCCAGGAGCAGGGAGCCTGATGTGGGGCTCGATCTTAGGACCCTGAGATCATGACCCAAGCTGAAGGCAGACACCCAACCAACTGAGCCACCCAGGTGTCCCCCACTGTCACTTCCAAGTGAACTTATAGAATACAGAAAACTTTGGGCTGAATTGTGTGCCCCCCGCCCCGATTCATATGTGGAAGCCCTAACCCCCAGGACCTCAGAATATGACTGTATTTGGAGATAGAGTCTTTACAGAAGTAATTAGGTTAAAATGGGGTCGTTAGGTTGGGCCCTAATCCAATATGATCGGCGTCCTTGTAAAAAGGGAAATTTGGAGATAGACCTGTGTGCATACACACACACAGAAAATGCCATGTGATCATGAAGAAGGATATCTACAAATCGAGGAGGGTCAGACCTGGAACAGACCCCTCCCTTGCAGCCCCAGAGAGAACTAATCCTGACAGCACTTTGATTTTGGACTCCTGGCCTCCAGAACTGTGAGAGAATAAACATCTTGCTTAAGGCACTCAGTTTGTGGTACTTTGTTGTGACAGCCCCAGCAGACCTAATACAGATGGTTATAAGAGTTGATGCACTGAATACACACTCAATGCACAGTGCCAGGCTCTCGGCAAATTTGGAAACATGTGGTGTTATAAAAACAATCACAGATTCATAATCCTGCATTCGGAACCATAAAATCCCCAAACAGAAAAATTTTCACAGCTCCTTTAGCAGCCCAAATAGACTGAACCCATGTGAACGTGTTTATGGTCTTTATTTATTCCTTAGCTCAAATATGCATATAATAAGGATGTTAATATGCTTGATTATTGGGGACTGTCCCAGAAGCCCCTGGTGGAAGGTAATATATGTGTACTTTAGTGTGAGTCCCTTTTAATACATACTTATGATGTAATATACGTAAGTAACATATATGGTATGCGAGTCTGATTCATTACTCACACAAAACACTTCACTTCTGTCTCTTCTGGTCACCAAATCTGTGGAGACATTTCCTGACACCAACAAGCAATTCTCAGCCACCAGCAAGGTGTCCAAGGATCTAACTCAACTCTGACACTATCTACCCAGAGAGAGCGTCAGATCCCACGGTTTAAGTGCTCAGTTTCCACAAAACTGTCTCCCCCCTTCCCTGCTTCAAATGCCAGTCACAAATCTAAAATAGACAGATGGACCTGTGCCTCTGATCAGCCAGTGCTAGGTGGGAAGTTGCAATGATCTCT